CCCCTTCCCAGTACAAGTTATGTAATACCGCTTGACCCAAATATCTACTCTTTGGAATCTCTACGCCAGCATTTTCTAGAAAATTTTTAGGTTCATTTAATCTTTTTCATACGGAAAAGTACAATATTCGTCTTTAAGTTTTAGATGTCTTTTGATCAGTAGAAACGCATTAGAGTTAATTATTTCTTCAAAGATAAATTAAAGTTTTAACTTTCATATCTCCGTGAAAGCCCATGTAGGCTTGGTAAACATCAAACTACTAAAGAAGGTAAGCGTATTTAACTATTTCTTTGTATTTGCGGAGTACTTTTCCAACCTATTGGAAATTCGGAAATAACTAGGTATTGAAAAGAAATCAATATCGGCCTCGTAACGTTTCCAATTTCCAAAACCCTTTGTTTGGATGCAGGTCAAGGACGTCGATATTGTAGTCGATATTGTACAAGTAAAATTGTATTTTAAGTGCGAATATATTGTTTAAGGCTTACGAAAAATAAGCTTTAACTAGTAGCTTTTATATAAAACTAACAATATGTTTTTAAATATCAAACAAAAGCACGTATTTTCTTTTATTTTTAAAATTGATTGGTAAATTTAGTTTCGAATTTTTAGCGGGAAGTTCTCAATACGTAGATATTACGGTTTATTTTAACCGCTGACTAGCGGGTTATTTCCACAAAGGTCTATATCAAATTGCGACAGGCGCTAAGACTGCGGTGCTTTGAGGACTTCATACTAGCTTTCAATATAACCACATGCGGTTTGGACTTAATTTATTGATGTATCAATAAGTTAGATTAATATTAAAAGGCTTAAAAATATTTATTGGCATATTTTTGTTATAAATTCCGTAACAGAAAAAAATATCGATCATTTTATCAAGAAAATCATATAGATAAAAGAATCTTCAAGCAAATATTCGATTTGAGTAACGAAACGATTATCCAAATCATCAAAGACAAATGTCAAAGGTCAAAGACTATTTGCGTAAGGTATTTTTTTTAATAACTCATTATTGTGTATACTTACATGGCGTAACCGACAGCAATGGCGATGTACCACAGAGCGAAAACTATGATGCCTCCAGAACTGTCACCTTCCGCCATATTTCTTTCTGGTGGTGATGATCTGCCAATAAAATTAATTTTAAGTGCCAAAATATCGTGACCAGTTGAATTACACACATCCCCATCCTATCTTAGTGCTGATTAGGCCCAAGCCAACCATATACATTTGTAAATTAGAACACATCGGTACATTACGGGGAGTGAATAATAAAAGTGCCAAAAAATGTTTATCTAACGTTATTTAATTCACAAGTAAGATTCTTTAATGTATAGCTTCGGTGGGGCATTGGTTAAGAATCGGATTTGTAATCTACAGGCACGTGATGGATTATCTTTTTTGGAAAAAGGGGGGGTCATCAAGATACCGTGCCTTTTGGGGAAAAGACTCGGTAATTTGAGACTTGACACACTAAGCACTTGACATCCTCAAGTGCAACTGATTAAAGTCCCGGGATCTCCGAAGGAACATACCGAGATTCTGTACACGTGTTGGATCCTTGAAAGTAACTTTGTTTGGAAGGCAAACCCAGGTATTATAACTTTGATATTTTTTATAATGAATAAACCAGCGCCTGATCGCGATCCCTCCCTCCTGATGATAAATAATATGAAAGATGGCGTATCCTAATGCCATTGCGTACACTAGCTTAGAAAATGCCTAGTCACACTTCACGAAAACGTACCCAAGTCTAATTGTAGATAATTTGAAATAAATTTAAAACATTTGATATGAACTAACTTTACAACAGTTGTAGTAGAGACAGTGGTAGGTCTGGGAGCTGGCGCGACAGGTCGAGGTGGAACATTCGTGGTTGTTGCAACTGGTGATGTTGTCGTTGGGGCTGGTGCATTTTCCTTTTTTGTATCACATATCGACAATAATTTTGAAAATGCCAATGACAGCTGTCTAACGCCAAAATTCATCTTGTTTTATGTCATGTCAATTATTTAGTCGTTTTTCGTGTTAAACGTAGATAAAAATATTTTGCAGTAATTTTATAACGCGTTAGTAAAACCACTCAAGTAATTTTAAAACAAAATAGGAGCTTCCTTGTTCCTATTATCTAGTTCTTTTCGATAAGATAATCTTACTAATATAATAAATGTTTAGATGGATGTTTTTATTGGGTATCTTCTGAACAGCTACATAAATCTCAAATTTGGTATAGATGTAGACATAGTCTGGCAGATACAGGCTACTAAAGTTTTTTTTATAATTCAGCACGGATGGAGCCGTGTGCGATAACTAGTCCGACTTACATGTCACCTAAAATAATCAAATAACCGGTATTTTATATAATTACTAGCGGACCCTACAGACGTTGTCCTGTCTACACGTCTTTAATTTGAATAAATTATTTAATATGAAGTTAATATTTGATGAAAATTGAGAATCTAAACCATTCCTAGATCCCCTTGAACACACACAAAAAATTTCATCAAAATCGGTCCAGTCGTTTGAGAGAAGTTCAGTGACATACACACTCACAGAAGAATTATATATATAAAGATAGATATACTTACCTTTGATTCTTGAATAATGTTTATTATATACAAGTCTAGGTGGCCATGTTTAATCGACAAAAAAAACACTTTTAAACCATAGATTATTTTTGTAACAATCTTATAAAACTATACAAAGGTTACATTACATAAATAATATCCAAAATATACATAAATTCGCTTATTTATATTTATACATATAACAAAGACATTCGAGAACCTCAAAATAGAATTATTTTTTATCCCTTCTTGTGTATCTGTATTTATATCACATTATATTTTTAATGTAAATTAATTTTTGATTTACATTTTTATTCTAAATAAATTTCAATATTGTCTAACAGAGCATCTATTCAAAGGATATGTAAGGTGGTACATATTATAATTTGATTTTTCATGCGGCAACACTAAACCCTTTTTTTAGTTTGTCAACATATTCCTTGCGACAATCCATGTCGTCTGCTGGCCGGTTGTAAGGTAGCCAGACCGGCTCGCCCACGAAGTAACGGTATGCTTTTAAATAATTCTGAAACAAAATATATGTAAAAGCAATCACCATGTTAAAAATAGCTAACAAGAATATTTGTTTAAGCAAGCTCTATTGATGAAATAGCAAAATTTCACAAGACAATAGATGTACAGTCGAATCTGGATAAGCAAGAACTAAATAAGTGTGAAATGTCTATAAGCGAGAGCCATTGCCCAGACTCAATTGACAACCTCTATAAGCGAGAAATTCAGATGTTAGAGACATCACTAATAAGCAAGAAAAATATGGCCGTTTTTTTATTACTCTCTAACTTATCCAATTCTAGGTATTCTAGATTTAGAACAGGATCATGGAAACAATTCCTCACTTTATAATTTTTGTTAATTTAAAGTAGGTAACGCATCTTCAACTTATTATCTTGTTGCAAAACTTATTAAATTATTTTTTACATATAGAAAAAAATACCTACATTAGTGTCAACTGTAAAACGGTGATAGCTGCCGCTGGGAATAATGATCATGTCTCCGGGAGTCACCAGAATGCGAATCCATTGGTCGCTATCATCACGAATGTCAAAGTAACCGGAACCTTCCACAGCGAACCTGAAATATGTAGAATAAATAAATAAGTTGTAATTAATTTTATTTGCAATATCTCAACTTTTCTGTTATCTTACTTCTTACTAATCATATAAATCCGAATATTTAGATGGATGGATCAATTGATGTTTGTCAGTAGGTATATCTGGCTCAACAGATCTTGATAAATATTAGTACAAATGTAGAACATAGTCCATAAGAACACATAGGCTAGCAATTATTGTTTTTTAATACTGCTCGAACAGAGCGCGGACAACATCTAGTTATGTGTAAATCAAGATTTCAAATGAAGTGTAATCATTTGGAATTTACAATATTTTGTACAAGTGTGTTGTCTGTCTATTGTAAACACATATATTTAAATTTGCATCTATACCTGATCTCTTCATCCGTATGCAAGTGCTCTTTATAAAATGCTTTTATCTTTTCTTCATAGTTAGGAAGGCACTCTTCGGAAACAGTTATTTGATCCTCATAGCTGTAGCCCCTTTCTTTCTTTATTTTGTCCAATACTCCATCAGTTTTAAATGTGTCCACATTTAACTGCAATTTAATTTAACATAATAAATATAGTTGATTATTTGAGAAAGCTATATGATAATATGTTGTTATAAACTCCATTATAGTTAATAATTAATAATTATAGTTACCAGTTAGTAGATTAGATCTTTAAAGAGAAAATAAGTAAGAAATTTTAACTATGGAATGTGTGTTACAAAGGACATCTTTTAGTGCAGCAAGATTGATTTTTTACCACATTTTAAACATTACTATAATTTACGGATATAGTCGATCATTTTAATCGTGTAAACGACGCAACATAGATACCCATGACCTTCACAGGTTATCGAGATAATTATTTAACTCATACATTTTAGGCTACTTTTTATATAAAAAATACTTCCTAATACATTTAAAAGATTTGTACAAATTACATAGCCAAAATACTTTAAAATTTATAAAAAGTTTAAGGTGTATAACTTGATGTTTACCTTAAAATATTCGATGCCAGTTTTTTTGTATAAATCTTCTATGGAAATAAATTCTGGGGGGTTCCGGTGGTGCTCTAAACGTTGGTCTGTGTTTTCATCATCCATATACCAGGCCTTTACCATTTTTATTCTAGTAATTTACTCGTTTTAATTTTATAAAGGAACGATATATAAATATTTTTAAGGACACTTCAACACTTCGCATCAATTTGTTTAGAAACTTTTGACAAGACCAAAGAGTAACTCAGTGACATTTTGTAACTGCTCGAATAGGTTTAAGGTAAATAATCCAATAACAAAGAATAAGTACACACTTAATATTTTTTTTTATTAAATGTAGACATTTCATAATAAAAAAAATCAATTTTCAGAATCGAAGCCTCTCTTCTGTTGTTCGACATATTTTTTGCGGCAGGCCATTTCATCCGCCGGTCGATTGTGCGTGAGCCAGCCCGGTTCGTCTTCGTACAGGCGACGAGCTCTCAAGTAATTCTATAAAAAACACAAAGTAAAATAAAGAATTTAATACACGATAACTCGTTTACTATCTTATGCTCATTTTATCAAAATAAAAGTAATGTTATAAATAGCACCATACGTTGACCACAAATACTTACAAGTATGGACGTAGAAAAAGCGAGTGGTATGTCAAGACCTTGCTGAATAGTGGGTTTACTGAAGTCCATAACTCAGAGGAATTAGGAATTTGCCATTTTAGACTGTACTTTAGTCATATAAGTGAACATACATTATTATCGAGGGTAAAGCGATGGTAGCTGCCTCTCGGTATGATGATGAGGTCCCCGGGGGTCACCTTGATGCGGATCCATTCGTCGAGCCCATCCCGAATGTCGAAGTATCCAGAGCCTTCTGTTACAAGCCTGAAATATTATTAGACGAGAATTTTCTAAGTGTATGAACTATGAATAATCATAAAAACAAGATATTGGTAGATGGAAACTCATAGTACCTGATCTCTTCATCAGCGTGCAAGTGCTCTGTGAAGAAGGATTTCAATTTTTCGTCGTAGTCCGGTAAACACTCTTTGGAAATAGTTATTTCGTCTTCATATGTGTATCCGCGTTCCTTCTTTATCTTTTCAAGTACTCCTTCCGATTCATATGTCTTTAAATCTAACTGAAATTATTTAGAAGGTATATTTCTATGGGCGCATTCTGTAAAGTTTGAGTTTGAGAGGATAATATGTTTTCAAAAGTTTATAAAAAATCGACATGACGAAACTTATGTATAGTTCGCTTTCCTTTAAGATCGACATTCCACATGCAGCTTTTCAGGACGTTCAAGGGATTTTAAAGTCTCAGAACTCAAACACGATCTAGTATTTACCTGTCAACTAAACTTTACATACTAGCTGTTGCCCGCGACTCGTCTCGCGGAACTAAAAAAACTGAATAAAACCCATGTGTTCTTCCAGACTATGTTCTACATCTAAACCATATTTCAGCGACATCCGTTGAGCCGTTTTGGAGACAGCATCTTACAAACATCCGTGCATCCATCAAAACTTTCGCAATTATAATATTAGTAAAAAGTAACAATTCATCTTGATATGAACAGGATAAAAGAACCTGACCTCTAACAGTTTTAACAGTTCATTTCGCTTTGTTATCAATTAATTTCATCAGTACTTACTTTGAACAGTTCTACACCGGTCTTTCTGTGTAATTCTTCGATAGAAATGAATTCCGGAGGGTTCCTTTGATGTTCTGCTCGTGGGTCGGTTTTATCATGGTCCATGTACCAAGCTTTTACCATATTGACCAAATTATATAACTATTACACAAAGTTGACGTATTGCAAGTTACTGCACAAGAGAATTTAGTGGCAAATCTTTAACGTATTTATACTCTTCGTAAACTATTCTTAGGTTATCTCTTGGTTTTAATGTTTATATATATAATAATAAATATTATTATATGCAACTGATTGGGAGCAATTCTTATCAGGTTGGAGGTAAATGCACTCTTCAATTTTGATTTAATAATTACTAACTATCGCCCGCAACTCCAGTCGCGCGGAATTAAAAAAAAAAACTTAATAGATGGCTGTTACCAGAGTATGTTCTACATCTGTGCCAATTTTCCATCCATCCAAACTTTCGCAATTATAAGTAAGAACGTATTTTTATTAATTAAATTTTATGACACTGCTCGCTATAACCTACTTTCAAAATTCATATAGAATTTATCTCTACAGATTAATAAATTTGGATTGTTATTATTTCTTACAAATGATGTATTTAAAAAATAATTTTTAAAATTTTTGTCTGTATGTCTTTAAGCAAGCCGCGTTTTGTATAGTCTCCGGAATGACTGGACTGATTATGACGGGAAGGTGCATCAGATGAGAGCTCAGGTGATGCACCCACGAGCACGGGTCTTTTTTATTCTGCGTTGACGATGCCGCGGACCACCGCTAGTCAATAATATAAATAAAACATTTTACAGGTAAAAATAAAATTTAATATGTTATACTCTATATCATATTACAATTGTTTAGTCGACAAATTGTTATGTAAGATTTCAATTTGAGGTTATATTGAACTGGGGCAAAATACTTTGGTACATGCAGCCGCGAGTTGGCACGTCTAACACAAGAGTAACCTTATTCGAGAAGTGCCAAGTCAAATACCGAGTGATTTAACAATTTGGTTATCAATTACAACTTTCAAGTTCATTACTTAAAGTTGATTTTTTTAAATCAATCTCATTTGTTTTAATTCTCAAGGTTTACAGAATAAGTATTATATATGTTTACATTTAATATTATAAAAAAAAAAAACAGTATAATTTGATATGAATGTTTTATATCTTATATATAAATAAAAATATTAAAACAGGATCACAATATATAAAAAATATTAAATATTATAATCCTATTTTAATTCAAATTAATTTATAAAATAGCGAAATTCAACAAATGCTAATAAAAATTTAGTAAGACAGTATTTTACATCAAAATGTACGATAAAACTAAAATAATTTCATCCATACATGAAGTAAATATACTTTACTTATAGAATGCATGATGAAATGATAATGGCCTACGAACAAGTATACTGTCGGTTTCCACTGTCACGATACTTGTATTGTTACATTTTGCTGTCTCAGTACGAAATATTAGTAAGATGTTTTTTTTTTAACTGAAAACACAAGATTTTAAGCATAAATATATAACCTACTAGATGTCACGTAATACTCCGTTCGCGCGTAATTAAAAAAGTAGCCAATTTTTTTTCAGACTATGTTCAACGGTTGTGCCAAATTTCATCAAAATCCATTAAGCTGTTCTGGAGATACCTTCTAACATCCATCCATCCATTTAAACATTCGCAATTATAATATTAGTAAGATAAGATAGATGGAGTTTTTACTGAAGTTACTAATAGAGAGATTTTCTAAATGTATGTTGGTAACACTGGGGAAATTTACCCCAATAAATGTCTCCCGGAGACTATTTTTTACCTCACTTTTGTCATCGTATTAAATATCTATAGGTTATATACCTATGATTATAGAAAAAGTTAAGTTACAAAAAATTAACAAGAAATAACATGCGATCGGATAAAATTAATAATCAAATAATTTTCAAAGGGAATATAATAAAATTAATAAATCAATATTAAACAATAACATCGAAATGTAATTATTAAAATCACAACAAAATAAAATAAAAAAGGGACGGATTGCAAAGTGACAATTTCAAATGAAAATAAGCGATTAATACATAATAAGTAAATAATAAAATAAATGCTAAGTGCAATTAAAGCTAATTAATGTAAAAATAACCCAAAATTAATTTATTATGTGTACAGCTAAATTTTAAATGATATTTTGAGATCAAATTCTTGCTTTTAATTTAAATTATTGTGGATAGATGGCGCTGATACTAATTTTTCATAATACTCTGAATTAAAGTTTAACAGAATATTATAAAACAGTTATTTTGCTTTAAAAAAAATCATTTTAAAATATATTATTAGCTTTAATTAAAGCACAATTTTACAGCAATAATTAATTTTCATAATTATAATAGATCAAAATTTAAATTTTTTTCAAGTTAATACTGTTCAATTACTTTCGTCACAATTATAACCTAGAAATATATTTCTTTAAATATTATTGAAAAAAATACGAAAGCCATTTTTACTATTTAATAATTTATAACCAATACTTGGTAAAGATAAAAAACATATGTATAATATGATTCAGTAATGATTAATTTCAATAGCAAATACTAAATTAAAAATAAACAACAAATAAAACTGCAAATATAACCAATGTTAAGGACTAAGAATATAAAAATCGCTTCTTTCATCAATGCATTTTCAAATGTGGTCAAAGAAATTAATTCCATTTTCTCGCATGATGAGGATTATATTCCTGGTCACACAATTTAAGCAAGAAAATCCATTATATTAGTTAATTAAAAAAAAAACTAACTACAACAAACAAATATCACAATGTTAAGTACTATATACAAACAGCTATACAAACTAATATAAATTATTTATTACTAACAATCTAAAAATACACACATCGTTTATAAATCTAATAATTATTGTATTACACCTTGTCACTAGAAATACTATTCACTTCTAATGTCTATGGTCTCTGTTGAATACATCTTGTAAACTGGCAACACTAAATATGTCATAGACAACGATTTATAAAACTTATACTATAAAGATAGATTAGGCAAAACTTTAGAATAATGAATTAAAGGAAAGGATTTTTTTTTAATTAGACCTTTTTATTTAAAAAGGCAAGATCCTTAAGATCATAGATGTTTTTTCAATTTTCTAATTTAATATTCATCCTTCACAATTTCAATTACATAGATAGAATATTTTAATTTGATTCATAATTTGGTTAAAAAAAATTATAAAGGAAGCAAAGTATATGAGACTCTTTTATATTAAATTAAGCAACTGCCATAGACATCAACTGTCAAATATAAAGTTAGTGTTGCCATTATTTGGATGGATTGAATAAATTTAATCAAAGGGATTGGGGATGCTATAAATTAAGAAAAAAATACATAACATATTTTAAAAGGACACATTAGTTCGTTGCCAAAATATTTACAAGATAATATACCTAGCAACACAGAGTCAGTCGATGAATTGTCCATTATAAGTTGGCCTCGACTAGAGTTTGGTATGTTTGACGGTGTCGGTCCAGTAGTTCTGGATGGTCATCGCTTCCAGAGAGTTAAGGAAGGAATCGTTGTCAAGACTGTACATCTCCTCCGAATTGTCCTGGAATTGAAAATTCGTACGTTAAATGGGACGCTTTAGAAATTATTTACTTACTTATAGAAAAGTTTTTAAAAAGAATTTCCAGACTATATAAACTTAAACTTTATGGTCAATAGGTAATCTGTTAACCAGTAAAATATGCTCATAAAATTGAAGAAACTCTGAAAGTGTGAACATAAAATGGCTACTTTTATGACTTAGGATATTGGCAGTATTTTTACTGCACAATGATACTAAAGATTTGCAGCTTTTAATATGTTCGATTTCAGTTTATTGGATGTATAAAGGAATGCTTGAAAAACAAAAAAATTATGGCTAGAAGTTGCGAGACTCTTATTTATGGGCGCTGCTTGTCATAGTAATTATAGACTAATACTTACCCTAATGGTGCTATCATCTAAGTACCCGCTGGAGTCGGGGTTGGAGCACTTGTCATTGAGGGTCTGCGGCTTGTTGAGGTACCGGCGGCGATACAGCACAAAGCCGGTGCTGCCCGCGAGCGCAGTCAGCGCTAGTGCTGCAAACGATATGCCTGCTATCGCTCCCGTGTCCATCCTGTTGCCCGGCTCTATTACTTGTCTAGAAGATTCTATAATCGGGGGCATCTTGGTCTGAAGTAACGTCGTTTCTAAAGAAAGCGGCTTCTCCGTCACGATTCTGCTCTCTGAAATCCCTTCTAGATTCGCGTCGTCCCTGACCGAGTCGGGCGTCAGATTGCGCTTTCTAGAGCTGAACGTTGCATTCTGCGGGTCGGTTAGTGGGTCTATTAATGTCAGGAGCGTTGCGTTCTTTGTTGTATCTTGTTGTCCATTGGATACATTTGTGGTCACAGTCGCGTTGATTTTCGTCCACTTTATTGGCGACACTTGTGTGGTGGTGTTGAATGTTGAGTTTGTTTGTGTGTGTTCGGTGGTGTTAGTAGAAGCTGTGGGTGTTGTGGGGGTGGTATCGGTGGTGTTGGTGTTTGAGGTGGTAGGTGGTGTGTGGGGTAGGGGGAGAGGCGCGGCCTTGGTGAAGTACATGGCGCGCGGCTGGCGCTCCACGTGGGGCTGCACCGTCTCAGCCGCCTCGGTCGCCGTCGACGTGGGCTGCAGCTCAAAAGCCTGGGGTGCACCGAGCACTCGCCGGCTGCTTGCTGAAATTGAGACAGAATCCCTTGTTAATCTAACACATAAGTATCTTTTTGAGAATAACAAAGAATTAAGTAAAGTTGTTCGCGTAATTTTTATTTAAATAGTAGAATGTTATAAAAATGCGGTTCCAAAGGCCTTTGTTATAGTTACCCGTACCGTAATAAAATGGCGCTGGAATTCAGAGATATTCAAACATTCAGCGAAAATGGAATAAATAAAAGGATATTTCATGAAAAGCCGAGTGATTATCATAAATATGAGGCCAGACAATATTCCTATCTCACACCGCGCTGAACAATGGTGGCGAACCATAAAACGAATACTACGTTACTCTATGCTAATATATCACATATATAAGAAAATGTCGAAGAGAATTTTCATATTGGTTTCTCTTAAAAAGTTACGGCTACAAATCCTTATTTATTTAGGAGTCGCAGAAACATGAAATAGTCTACATAATACCAATAACAAATAGCATAATTGTTGACGATAGAATTTTAAAGCCTTCTCAAAATATTTTGTAATTTAACTTAACTAAATTGTAGCACTGTATTTTGTTTATTTTCTTTGTATTAATGTTTATTATGTTATATTCTACATCATTTCAATAACTACTATTTGTTATCTGTAAACTACTAACTTATACCAAGGTAGATGAAAATATAGTTGGTAGTTTTTGAATATTAAAAATAAAGTGAATTTGGAGGGTGGTCGGCTCTGGGCAGTCGAATGTCGTCCGTCGAACGTACAGTGCGCACCCGTATTGAAAATTCTGTGTTCCATTTTGCTGCATCGCCGCCATCCTTTACAATAATAATGTTATTTTTTCGGAAAAAATCCTATTAAGGTTATTTCAAGAAGTTCGGCTGAAGAGAAAAATCTGTACTGTAGAAGTTCTAACACTGAAATTTAGTCTAATAGCAATATGATTAGGAGGAAGTTAATTGGTACTAGCTCAACTGACGTTATTATTATTGCTATCGAGTAACATTTTGCAAACATTATTGCGTTCTAGTTTCAAATGCGAATAGGCTAATGATTGGGTTAGCAAGAAACACCATCTAGTCTTATCGTACTTGAGCGGAAACTGTACTGCGCAATATTTGTTTCAATTCTCTCTAAATTGTTTCTAGGATTTAAGAACAAAATAAAAAAGCTATTTGTGTTTCATTAACGACTAAATAAAACAAACTCTAAAAGCCCGAAGCCGATCAATTAAGCTCTCTCATGTTTTGTCCGCAGGTAACCTTGTTTGCGCTTAGCCCGTGATCAGCATTCATAATGCGTTTAGTTGATACCGAAAAGTAAACTGATTCTAATACTACAAGAAGTCACATTTGGGTTTAACGCAATTCCATGGTTTTTTTTATAAGAGAAGGGGACAAACGAGTAGCGGGAACGAGGTGTTCATCGACGGCCATGGACATCAGCTATACCCGAGGAACCGCAAATTCTTTGCCAGCTTTAAGCAATGTGTAATGTTCACTTTGGTACAATTAACATTGGTTTAATGGTTTTGTTTTGTTTTCACACTGTGTTATATGGGTTCGTTTTATTTGTATATCTGGCCTGACCTCTTTTAATATAAATATTCTTATTTATATCTATAGAGGTCAGTATTGTTTATCATCAATAACGATGTTATTCTATACCATGTTGTTAGTATAAAATACGAATTGTGTTTTGGTTTAAGTTTACTAACCGTAGGTTTCTAAGACCAAAATCTCTGTATTCGTGTCATTATCTTTGACAAAACTGAGATAGCAATATGTTTTAAAATTAAGAAGATTTTGGAGTATTTAAAAGTTAGATGGTATTTTTACGCAGTAACAAAAAAGTCAGGCTAAAAGAAAAAGCCCATATATTTTATTCGCTTTATTCCATAGAAAGAAAGATATATTACGAAGTCGGACGAGAAAACTGTGATAGTAAATGGAACAGGTTACATAAGTGTCGCGAATGAGCATACCTAGCAAACGTGATAATACGATAGGTACAGACGCGTACACAAGTGACACAGTATTTTTATTGACACTATAAAAAAATTATCAGATTTGATACGTGTTTTCATAACGTCATCGAAAAAATATATCTTGATTTGTAAGAGATTTTTCGTTGTATTTATTCGTAACATTGTAGAAAACTAATACAATTTTTTTTTAAATTATCGTGGTAAATCTCTTAATAAAAATAAAAGAGGATAAATCTTTCGCCTTGTAGACGATTTATCACAATTGTGTGTGCCTAGATTTACTTGCAAAGTGTCACTTTGTAAATTTTTTCGCCATTATTGTTTAAGCTTTATGGGAAGGCAATAAAAAAAATGTTATTTATCTCAACTGAATTTCAGCCACCAAAAGGGAACCTAATCAATGTTTTGAGAATCTTGTATATTTTTTATCATACACCAATAAAAGTAGTAACAGAGTTACATTTGCTCGCGACTGTACGTGTTAATATTGGGGTTGCAACGCTATTGTTTGCGTTTGAATAGCGTATTGACCTGTTCACAGCCTCGCAATGGGGACGTCGAGTACGGCCGTTTGAGATTGATATCGCTTCTGACCGCTTTGAAACTTATGCAATACAACGTCGGAAATATTCACATTAAATGTGTATCTTGTGCGGCTCTTAAGAGACGGCAAAAATGGTAAATTATGACACAGAGCAAAATTTTTTACATTTAATGCATCAACAACTTTTAACAGTGGTAGAGCCTTCTTTAACATCTTCGCATAATTGGCCCGGCTCGTCCGGTGAAATACCACGACCACACAGAAGACAGGCGTGAAGTGGAAGCAATGCCGCGTGCAGTCTGATGAGTGTGCGTCCCGAAGGCCTAATTTAGTCCTCTTTCCCTTCCCACCATTTTCTTATAAGGAAGGGATGGGAAGTGGACTTATCACATGGAAAGGGAAAATATTTTCTGTCTGTGCATCCTCTCTTCCGTCGATTAAAGGTAGGCAACGCATATGCAATTACGTATGTCTATGGGAAACGGTTACTTTGCTATTTCAGCGATTTCAGTTGGCCGCTCGTTCGTTTGCCCCCTTACGATATAAAAAATATTTTTAAAAATATTCAGATGTAGCATACAGCGCAATCACTTACATGAAGAACGAATTAAAAAAAAACAAAGTATATAATAATAACATTAGCTATTTGTTTTTAACTGAGCTTAACAAAATAGACTATCTATCCATTTTCCTTCTTTGCGACATAAACGAAAAAAAATCTTACGTCAAAATCTTCAACCTATTATCGTCGTCGCAATACATCTACGAAGTGTAGTATAAAATACAACAATATATTTTCCGTGCATGTGGAAACCCCTTATTTTGTTGTATTCGTAGACACCCCTTTTGTACGGAAGCCGTATAAAAGGTAATCCGGTTAAGAAGCCCGTCACATGAGTAGCGACGTTGGATAAAACTGAAGTCAAGGGTAATTTTATTAGTAGTGTAATCACTAGCCAATACGCATAATAAGGAATAGTATACATTGACACAGAGCCTGTATAATACAAAATATAAACGTGGATTTTTACTGCCGAAAAATTCATAAAAAAAACTCCTATTTTTTTAGGAAAACGGGAGGGAATTCGTATGTATGTGATACGTGTGATCTTCAATTTTAAGAAAGCAAGATATTGCTCTACGTTGTTCAAAGATTTATATCTCACTAATATTATAATAGCAAATGTTTTTATGGATGGATGGATGTTTGTTATCCGAAAGGGCTGCATGGATCTCGCTGTAATTTTGTATAGATGTATTCTGGAAGAACACATAGACAACTAAGTTTTTCTTTTAATTCGGCGCGGACGGATTCGCGGGCGAAAGCTAGTGTGTAATAAAAGCAAATCGAATTAAATGTAATTAAGACGTACGATAACAAACACTCTCCGGAAAAAATTAGGAATGCGTGAAATATTTAAAGAAGAAAAATTGTCGTAATTGCGACAACTTCATTTAAAAACTTTGCATAGATTAAAAAAAAATCATTGATCAATAAGTCTAGACCTTTTATGCTCTGGTTTATACAGAAGATCTATGCAAAGTTATGCGAGACCGCTCGAAACTTTACGGTAAAGTGTGGCAGGTAACGCCTCCTTGAGACAGTATGTAAATAAAGCTTACCCGATACGCGAATAAAACCTATAGAAACCTCAGCTTGTATTAAAAATAACAGTTATTACTACAAAATAATAAATCGACTAGTTTTAAAAAAAAAGTTTAATAAATGCATACAAGTGCATAGCGTTGTACTATTTTAGAGTTCCGGTTCGGTCACCTTCCTGTGCCCTTTTTTAGATTAATCAATAAACTCACTTCCTATAATAATTAAAACGTTAAGCAGAGCCCTATTTAGTTTGCATATTACAATTTTGGATACCGTTAACGAATACTTTGTGAAGTCAAGGGCATTGCAGTAATGACTTATTATATACTAATATTAAAAAAAGCGAAAGTTTAGATGGATGGATGGATGTTTGTTAGAAAGAATCTGCGGAAAAGTTCAACGGAGGAAATTTACCAAATTTAAAACACAGTCTGGAAGACATAGGCTACTTATTAAGTATATTTTAATTTTACGCGAAAGGAGTCGCGGGCGACAGCTTATATGGTAGGTACGACAGCGATAGGTTATACAACATTAGTGATTATTGGAGGTTTCACCTTGTTTCACACGCCTCTGCGAAAACTAGGGTATCAACCTTAATTACTAAGGTTTAAGAAAGGCCTTAAAGAAAAGCAACAATCTAGCAGCTGGTGTTGTTTCAAGCTATACTTTTGCATTAATAATATTCACAGTAAGTACTTATCAAGTAAAGATCTTGTTTTATTCTCACATATTCTTGAATAGCACAAGACCTTCATTATAGACCTTATGTGATATTACAATGAACAATGTTATCGAATATATTGTTTTTATATTCCCATCAAAAGATACAGTACGAAGAATGGACAATTATATGAACATGTATGAAGTGACTGACCACGAAGACATTGTTTACATTAAGCGCTTACGTGTCATTAAGAAATGAAAGATAAAAATCCATAAAGGTCACTTGTGTAGCACAGTACAAATTAATAATAGTTATTATAATCTAAAACTCGCATCTCATCGCAGCAGGGATTGAAACTTCTATAGAGATATTAAAAACAAATCACGAATAGTCAGGAGTAATTAAATTGCTTTTAATTTACGACCAAAGATTATAGTGTATGACATATTTCAATGGGGATGGTGGCTAAGGCTGAATATTAAATATTAAAATAATGTACATACCTATTAAAGACAGCAACATCGTCACCCAGAACCAGTGCATCCACCAGTGCAGCGTCATGACGGCAGCGTCTTCAGGTCTGTTGCGCCTGCGCTGCAACAACCAACACACATCAAGCTTAAAACAAATGTTATACAAGTATTTAAATGGAAACTCACTGCAACTAAGGAACAAAAAAATATTTTACTAATATTATAAATACGAATGTTTAGATGGATGGATAGAAGGTATCTCCAGAAAAGCATGGACTACGCTGAAATTTGCCATAGATGTAGATCATAATCTGGAAGAACTCATAGGTTACTAATTAAGTTTCTTTTACCGCGCGAACAAAGTTGCGAGCCACAGCTAGTATTTAAATAAACGCCAGTGTCTGTAAAGAAGAAATGAAGTATTTCTTGCGACGCCGACACGAGCATACTCATTAGGGAGACATAGGTTTAAGATCAAACGATAACACCGAAGAGAGAAAAGAAATGAAACATTGTGTTTTAAGGTCAAGGTACGTAAGAACGTTTTGCTGACTGCAACAATGGGACAGGGCTTATTAAGTAACATTGTTAGCGACACTGAACGACACTCTTATGTAAAGAAAAAAAAAATAAGATCTAGCGATTTTTTTAAAGAAAAATATTGCTGCAAAATTCGAATAATAATGTGTTTGTACATAATGTTGTATTCCTTAATTCCAGTCAATCTGTGAGTTACTTTATATAGACCAATCTATATAGTAGGCTATACTTGAAATATCCCTTTTTATGTCATGTGTCATAGTAATTGCTTTTGTTTTTGAAGTCAATATACAGATTAAGTTATAGGCAATATAGATATTGGTTCTAGATAACGTGTAATAAAAACAAGATAACGTTTCTGATGAAGACTTTACCTTCCGTATTTCGTACGTGCAGAAAACAAAAAAAAAAACTCCAAAAAATTTAACAACATAAATCGATTTTAACACGTTTCATGATTAAGTGTTTTCATGTAACACTGAAATTGCGTGGCGAGTCGTTACTGGACGTGTTAATATCACGAAATAAAAGAAGATTTTTTTTTAAATATTTGATACTATCAAGGCGATAAAAAATTAATATTATATATTAATTTGACTATTAAATAACTCGAGATAGATAAATCGATATCCAATTAATACGACAGAAGCTCGTCTATGAGATTAGATGTAAGATTAGCGTTGATTTATCGAGGAAGACGGCTGAATATTGCTCAGTAAACACAATTTGCATATCCTAGTTTTAATTAAGCCAACTAGAGAGATTAATTATTTAGAACCCAACGTCCGAATAGGGATTTAAATAACGACATAATTAGAGTAGTTAAAGCTCTAAATATACGCTACTTCAGTTTAAACTGTAGACAGGGTGTTCAGTTAAAACTGTCAGATAAACTGTACAGTTATCAGTTTTGTCTACACATGTACGTTTAAATTTACAGTTCGACTGTTCAGTAAAAACTGCATTGTTAAAACTAAATGTTTAGCGGACTTAATAGAAGTATTTTTTCACAATATAATAATTAACGATTTGCATAAAACGTACAATATAAATATAGACATGTTGACATTTATCTGCAAGTGACATTAATTTTTTTGTTATAAAACAAGTAGTTTTTTTTTACATGCTACTGCAACATTTGAAAGGTGACCGGTTTATAAAAGTAAAACTTTTGCCTGCTTTATTATTTTTAGCAGAGTTTAAAAAGAAGGTTATTACTTCGTCTTTTTAATGTGTGTAACCATAACTCCGCTTCTGATGTTCGAATTTTCATAATCAAAAATCTGTACTGCATTAATTACATAAAAAAATTATTCATGAATCTGTTTGTATAGTACACCAACAATTTTGTCAAATCCTTGTTATACATCTCGCTAGAAAGTAAACCTTTTAGTAGGTTAAATATTGCGCAGACCTGATATTGTTGAAAAAAAACACAGTCAAGGTCGATGTTAAAAAATGCTAGAAAAACGAAACCTCGTTAAAATGACAAAGGCTTTTTGCTGAAATAGTACACGCAATTTGTCTTTTTTTATTATCCGTTAGGGAGCAATTACATTGTTCCGCAGCAGAACTAACTTTACCAACAAAGGTTCAAACAACGTACACCACCGCTGCTTGAAATAAAATTTTTATTTTTTAAATATTAGCAGATTTTTTTGTAAATTTACTATTATAATATTTCTTTTACCATTCCAACTTAGCTCTTGGCTTGTGGTAGGATATGGTTTACAACAATAGTCAGATGGCGGGATTCGAACCCCCGACCTCGTGATCGGAAATCCGTACCCTTAACCATTAGGCTATTGACGCTTAAATTGAATATCATGTTAAATTTTACTAAAAAGTGAAGAAAGGATAGAACAATTATGTTGTTGCTATAAAAAGTAATGAATCCTGTAATGGTGCTATTACTCAATCTCGTGGATATTATCACAGGAACAGAGAACAGAGAGAACAGAATTGAGGGAAAAAAGCCAGAAATTTAATTAAGACGCTGATAACTTTTAACGTAACCTTGATCACGATTAAAATTAAATGAAGGTTCAGTATTAATATTATTCACTTATCTTTGCTTTCTAACGCCAAAATCCATGTATAAAACATATTGTTATCTCTGTTTTGTCAAAGGTAATGACAGAGACGACGATATGTTTTTTACAGAACTTTCGATCTCAGCCAACGATTAATGGCATTTTAATACAGAGATACTGCTTACGTCATTTAAGACAATTATTTATTTTAACATACATTTACAGTGTAAGGGTTTTTAACGAGTACATTAATTTTTAAGAACGTAATTCTCTTTGACATTGAAAAAGTCAGTTGTTTTCAGCACGTGAGCAGGAAAAACGTTTACAAGTTAACGATGTCCATTTGTTTTTTTTTTAAACTGTGTATTTTAAGACTACAAGTAAAATACCTTTTGATTATAAATAAGTAACCATTTTGAGCTTAAATATTTTTACGACGAGGCTAAGTTTCAATTAATGACTTTACTTATATAAATATCTTAGTGTTAGTTTTCAGTAATTAAGTTAAATGGCAAATTTAGTCTTCCACTAAATCTCTTAAGACGCCTTCACGATCGTTAAGCGCAGCCAAGTCATGTATCTTGGCTCGGGATAATTACAGGGATGAGGGATGAATTAAGGAAAATTACTAGACGCGGCGCCTCGACTGATGGCCTTCATTCTGTTTAACAAACTTAATACGAGTAAATTGACAAAGATGTCGTCTGCCATTACGAAATAAAATTATGTCAAAATACGTGTTATTGTACGTAATTCGTTACTAGCTGTCGAACGCGACTCCGTCCGCGCTGATTAAAGAACCTTTATGAATAGCCTATGTGTTCTTACAGACACTACATTTCGTCCAGTTCTACATTTGTGCCGAATTTGAACAATATCCGTTGAGATATCGATAGATCCATGAATCCATTCATCTAAACATTCGCATATATAAGAAGTAAGATTAAGTAAGATGTACAAAAAAACCGACCAACTTTACTTCTTTGTCTCAGGGGAATAATAAAAATCAAATAACAGATTGGTTAAAATCGGTTAAATCGTTTAGGCTACACGATTGACATACATACAGACCCGCATATAAAAACAGTGAGAAGCATTGCAGTGATTGATATGTTAGATGCGCGTGCGCATTGTTTCACACGGCAAATCGCACTACATCTCGGACGTCGTCCATTATTAATATCACTTCTAATAGTGTTATTATTGCGTTTGAAGTGAAAGTAAAAGATGAAAGTAGTCTAGAGATCGAGAATTGCTGAATTTTATTAAGTTCATCCGAGCATAGATTATGTCATACAGTTTAATTAATAAACCAGAATTTTGTTGTTGTTTTGAATGTTTAAATGCTTGAATGCTAAGATTATAAATTACTTTCACATTGCTTCTAAGAAACGTAATTTAATATTTGAATAAAGACTATAACAACGAAATTTTATACATCAAGGAATTCTCAGACATCTATAGTTAGGGAGAGAGGTCATTTCTCCTTGACTGGTAACCTTCAGACGATATTGGGTTCCCGGCGTCCTAACTGAAATGAATACTGTATAAACTACATATTTTAACCTATACATAATACCTTAACAATAACGATGATTTTTACTCGTTCTATTATTATTACGTTAATGTTACCATATTGACAGTCTAACACATAACTACGTATGAATTTATTAATACTGAAAGAAGAATTTGGTGAAAATTAGAATAATTAAAAAATATAATAGGCTATTCAAATTTATTATTCTATTCTAGACAAGCGAAAACAATAGCTGCTTGAAATAAAATAGACTGCAGTCTTATCCTTCTAAAACTAAACATCAAAGTTTTGAAAACTTCAAGTTTCAATGGTAGTGGATGGGCTTCGCTAGTTCGGCTGACTCAGCACAATATCCACGTCTCGTAAGTTGTGAGAAGGCTTTGCGGAGTACCACCGATGCACTAAAGTTTTGAGTGGCTCTATTGAAGGCCTGCGATTGAAATATGTCTCGCTGCGATAAAACTAAGAGTTTGTTATAGAATTCTCTTCTCTAGTACTTCAACTATGGTGACTATAATAATCCGTTGTCAACGAGAACAAAAACATATTACTATTTCATTTTTCCAAAGAGAATGAAAGAGATGGCTATATGTATTGAAAATAAACAAATGCAATAAGCTCTCATTGTCATTAACAAATGACGCTCATGTACCATAACAATGTTGGCGCATAGCCAAGAGCCAATGAACTGAATCTCCATACAAAGTGAGTGTGTCACAAGTTACTTGCAGCTTATGGTCAGATAAACATAAACAATACGCTGGAACCTATTAAACAAAACGGAAAAACTACTAAAGAAAAGTAATGAGAACCGTCGCTTAGTACCACTGTCAGCTACTTGGAGAGGGGGGGGGGGATTTTTTCAAAAGTTGTCATTCCTACTGTAGGAAACACAAGGTTATTCGAGACTTGACTCACTATAGAACCTTGGAACCCATTCTTAAGTGCAACTGGTGATAGTCACGGAATCTCCAATGGAGCGCACTGGGACCGAGCAAAGGGCTTCTGCACGACCCAGAGGAGAGAGCCCCTAACACTCTTAAGTTAACTGTAATCTACAATTGTGTGGTTTCCATTACTTTCTGTTATGCTAAAATAAATCAAAACAGTGTTCAAACTTACCGAAAACAAATCCAGTCGGGTGTTCACTTGGTCATTAGTGATGATCAGCAGACATCACGCCCTGCAAATAAGAAGAATTACTTTGTAATATTGTTGTTGTAAACGTAAATACCCTTCCTGCACCATATATAACTAAATTAAGTTACTTCTAATTTGATAAAATGACTAATGGCCTGTGCAAACAGGGAGTTCATTCGAAGTCTGCTCTCTACACCCCTGATTTGTTATCCGTGCCCCGACCTTGAAATTGGAAAGGCACAACTGTGAAGTATTGGTTTAGTTTGTATTGAGTTTGTCAATTACACGTGAACTAAGGTCTCGTACTGATTTGGTAACAATAAGACAAAAACATTTTGAGCTACACCAATAAGTTAACAATTTTTTGTTTTTTTTTTTTGGATTTATGATGCAGAGCAATAAAAAGCTATCCAATTCCATCTTATTTATAAAATTCTCGTGTCACAATTTGCGTTCCCATACTCCCCCGAAACGGCTTGACCGATTCTCATGAAATTTTGTGAGCATATTGAGCAGGTCTGAGAATCGGCCAACATCTATTTTTAATCCCATGTAACGGAGTCGCGGGCGACAGCTAGTTATATCTAAATTTAAGAAGTTAAAAAGAACTCCCTATTTGTAGGATTCTGCTATATAACAATATCATAACTATACCAACTACAGGTTATTTAATTCAAACAGTAAATTGCGTGTGTACGAAAGACAATGAACCAAAACAAACACCGACCTACAGAGAAACCGGTCTGGCTTCCTGCAATCCTGTTATTTATTCACGATACGCTTTGTACTATCATGCCAACATCGTAGAGGTCAAAGTCACACGGAAATTTCGGTCATCATGTATAACTTGTCAACGCTGCGACCTTTACTTTTAGTCCATTGAAATAAATTTAGTTGGTTCTTCCTTGCATATAATTTAAGAAAGATTTCCGTACGAGGTTCGAGTTGACAAGCATGAAGATTAACTCTCAATAAGATGCAATTCGGGGATCTAACTAAACTTAAACGTTTTAAATATGTTAACAGACCTCCGGAACTACATTACGTAGATCGTGGTAAACGTTTTTTAGTCTAGAACTGCGTGACTTAAAGTACGTGACTAGAAGTATGCTCTGACAAAGGGTAATAGTTGCGCAACAACAAATAATAATAGTCTTTTTATACATCAGTTATAATAGTTCGTTTGTTCTATGATCTCTGACAGCATCAACAATATTAACAGTAACTTCGCAATAAGTAGGGTATACTACAACGACTTTATTATTAGGGTTAATGAAAGAGATTAGGGACCTTTGGGACTTTATTTAAATTTTCATTACAAGTAATAAACTTTTTTTTTAAATAAAACATTAGCAGATTATTTGGAAATTTAGTAATATTTCTTTTAGCATTCCAACTAAGCTATGCTATATGCCTGTGCTAGGATATGGCTTACGACAATAGTCGAATGGCGGGATTCGAACCCCCGACCTCGTGATCGGAAATCCGTAACCATACCCATTAAGCTATTGACGCTTATAACATGATTTTGATTATAATAAGTGTTGTAAATGAAAACTAAATTCAAACATCCTTCAATGTTTTTGCACGTACAATATGGCAGATCAGGAAAAACACGAGCTAATAACCGTGACACATTTGCGCCCTGAGAATATCGAGGACAATACGCTAAAATATTTTAAACGTGTATTAACCATATACCATTAATCATTATTAAAACTTTTTAGATAATCTGAGGTCAAAACACACAATAGCATATTGTTTATACAGAGTGTTTTAGCTACAATATTGTCTACGAATTTCGGAAAATACTTGGTAACTTTGTAAGAGAAATTACGTATTACGAAATTGCGTTCCGACAATTTCATTTAATTTGGACCGTCGAAGTGCGGAAACAATTTGAGTGGAAATAGAATACGCAGCCGATTTTCTTACCCCTAAAATTTATGCAAGATTTTATTGGTTTAAGCATTTTCTTTAAGTAAAATAAGTAACAATCCTATCAGAAGACGTGTTACCCTAAAATATTTCTACATTTTTGCAATATTCTTTTTAATAAATTGAGATTTTAAGCGGTAAGCTTAAAATACAAACAGAACGCATCGTACACAATATTACTTAAAACTTAAAGATAAGGCTAGAACATTGAAAGACATTTACAATTACCGGAGGCGCTTAACATCCTAATTAGTAGTTGTAGCGAGCAAAAAGTTACAAACGTTTCATTTCCACCAGCTGACCTCGAGCCTTGCGAATACAAGATAAAAAATGTTAACAATCCCCCTCATTTCAACTGTTATAATATAATATTAAACTAAGGATACATTTTAATTAAACCAAATAAAAAATAGGTTTAGTCTAATATTCTTCTCTGAGATTAGTGTAAATGGAATAGGTTCTTGGATATTTTCCTTATATATAATATATTTCGTGAAAATAAGCAATGTTTCTATAATCCATTAGTATGTTACGTAATAAGTTTCCCACTACACGGATACATAAATCATACTTACGAATCTTATCTAGAAAAATTGTATTTCCGAGATATAGGTCTTAGGTGCGAGGTGTAAAGTTTTAAGGAAGAAATGAACCTTACAAACGCTGAAATATCGCAATATCAAAAGGATATTGCCGTAAACGATTTGGTAATATATTTAATTAATTATGAGGATATACTGCCAAATTTATAATTGTTTATTATTTTTCATAGAAGTTAAAATCTGTTTTCAAGTCAATTCATACATAACTCTACATGGTGCCAAATCTTACTTATCTTACTAATATTATAAAAGCGAAAGTTAAGAAGAAAGGATGGATCTTTGTTTGAAGGTATCTCCGGAACGGTTCAACAGATTTTGATAAAATTTGGCAAACATATAGAACATAGTCTGGAATAACACGTAACTACTTATCAAGTTTTTTTTAATTCAGCGCGGACGCAATCGCGGGCTACAGCTAATTTCTACATAAAACCTTATAAAAGGTTACATTTTTACAGTTCGTTCTTCTCTATAGGGATCAATTTATCAGCAGTGTCAACAAACTGAAATAAATTGCCTTTCATTACGAGCATCATTAGGCCTGTGTACACAAGCGTGTGCCACGGGGCCACGAACCGCGTGGGCTATGAATCACTGGTAAGGGTGAGGCAATCAATTTCACGCTAAGAACAAACGCGTCATGTCTGAGCTTGACACGCTGACACTTATAGAGCTACTGTAGGGGGTTCTTACTGATTCCTCACAAGCATTGCACAATCATGATATAAATAGCTATTAGTACTTCGCTATTTCCGTGTAAACCGTTGCTTAACAAACTGATCTATATAATACTATACAGCTGGGTGTTGTGATCTAAAAGACATTACACCCAAAAAATCCTTCCTCGTGTTCACACATACCATCACCTACGATCCATCCATCCAAACATCAAGCGGTGTAAAGCAAATCAATGTGTTATAAGAAAAAGGAATAAAACATTTCTTAAGTAAAATTTTACATGAAAGTCTTAAATCTATGATATTAAATAAAATATTAAAAACGAATAATTACCTAAAACATATTATTGAAAGTAGTCCCTTTAGGCAAGGTTCCGAAGATACTGGCAGCGTTCCCTCTTTGAATAGCTAAACTAATTCTTTGACCGAGGTAGCTGCCAGCTCTTCTGTCCCCTGTGATATCGATTAACTTTTTTGAAATTTCCTTAAAAAGCCTTAAAGCGGTAGGACCCCACGGACCAAGGGTCTTGACGCCGAATTGGATAAAATCATATTCGGAGCCTAGACCCCTAGAATTAAATTAGGAATAAAATAAATGTATAAATATTCTACAATAAAAAATTTTCTATGAATGAAGAATCCGCCATTCTACTAATGTCGATTGAACAATAAATTATTGTACTATTATCAATATTTTCTCAATGACCGTAGTCACTTAAGTCTTCTGTAAAATTCAGTTTTTAGTTTCTGTTTTCTATACCTTTTTGGTCATCGTGGCTATCTTTGGGGGAGGCCTATACCCAGCAGTGGGCGACTCATGGCTGAGCAACATACCTTTTTGGTGAGTTTTATTCGAATTAACATACATAAACAAGTAAATTGAAAAGCATCGTTAAAACTCTGCTAATTAAAGAACTACGAACTCTTATTACTTTTAATTAAAATATGTATAATATTGTACTTTTGAATGGGGAAAAGCCTTTCAAAGTGCGGCTGCCAAACTTTTCAAGCTCGAGGAAAACTTATTCAGTACATATTTTCCTTCTTAAAAGTAATTTACAAAGAAGAAAAAAATTGGTACACGACGTATTTTATGATTTACCTTAATTATATTATAAATGCTCAAATTTGGTATAGAAGTAGAACATAGGATGGAAGAATAATAATAATAATAAGACATTTAATCCGTTCAAAAACTTTACAACACTTATAACACAACCAAAAAGAGAAAAAAGAAAAAATCAAAGAAATTACAATGAAGCGTTGCAATGCAGAACAGATAGGGCCTTTGCTCAGCTGTATGTTTATTACCCCCGGGGGCAAAAACACTGATATTCTGCAAAAGCCTTTACGCCCTCAGTACGTCAGTTACAGCAATTAATAACATAAATGAAGTATTACCTAATACTAACTATTCCATTCGCCAAGAAGACAATGGCTACTAATTAAGTTTGAATACCGCGCGGACAAAGTTGCGTTACACTAATTGATTACACCAGGACAAAAATATAAATTCAATATGCATTACGGTAAATCCGAGAAAATATGAAAATAATTACGCATTTAATTTATTGTTAATAAACTTCCTCCATACACAATACTTCAGATCAGATTTACTTATTTTAAGAATTTCTTATATATTTTTAGAAAAATAAAATTTATAATATACTAGCTGTCGCCCGCAGTCCATCCGCATTGTTTCAACAACTTTTTTTTTATAAGAGTATGGGCAAACGAGCTGCTCAACACCGAGAACACCGAGATGATCAACGACACCCATAGACATCTGCAACACCAGAGGTACTGCAGAAGCGTTGCCGGCCTTTAAGCAAATGGTATGCTCGCTTCTTGAAGGTTCCTAAGTCGTATTGGTTTGGAAATATTTATTAATAGCCTATGTCTTCTCCCAGACTCTTCTCAATGTGAGTCAAATTTCCCCAAGATCCGTTGAGCCGTTCCTTGAGAGATATCTTCTAAAAAACAACCATCCATCCATCCAAACATTAGCATTTATAATATTTGTAAGACTTCTATCCGAGAGAAAATAATCGGTGAATTCCACCATGATTTTGTCTAGAAATTTAAACTAGCTAGAAGGCTATAGCTTCTTGTAAAAAAACTGTAACTGTTGTGTATAAAAAAAATTGACTTGCATAAATCACAGGAAACGTAACATCCAACTATAACGTAAATTAACATTTGGATTCACCGGTCGAGCTCATTTTTCATCCTCACATTATTTTCAGCCGCTATAATTTTGTTAGGAAAATGTATTTCAACATGTTTCTCATTAGTATTTTTTTCTACAATAAATCAAATAGAATAGCAATATATTAATCGCAAACAAGTCCGTATCTTGATGTCATTTAGCTATGGTTTCAAATTACGTATATTTTTTTATATCATGTAGGATTTTTTTTCTTTATGTACATATACCAAAACAGTTTATTACTACTACAAATCAATGCATGACATTAATGATATCAAACTTATTTAAAAAAAAAATACTAAATTACCTTTTTAACACCAGAAAAGGCAGTTACCGTAATTAAAAAAACCAATAACTTAAAAAAATTAATTAACACAGAACAAAACTGACACACACAAAGTTTGTGTTCACAATAATAATACGATTCGCACAAGTACGATACAAATGTATCAGGCAGTATCACAGAGGCAACCGTCCTCAACGCGCGCCAACCTGCGACTGGCCAGTCAGTCTGCGAACCATCTCTAACACATCCAATGTCACTGTACATACATTAGGTGCTTGAAATACATAATGGTTATCCATTTACTTATCCTGTAAGTAAAACAAATGAGATCACGAAGCCCGTGATATGCAGAATAGCTTAGAATTTACTTCCTTAGCTATTACTCATCAATTAAGTACTCGTCTTATAAAGAACCAAAATAAGCTAACCAATTGATATTTGTCAGTTGCTAGTATTTTCACCACATGATTTTTTACTATTGATTTCGTTTGTAAGACTATAAACTAACTGAATTTATTACTTTACAGTAACTACAACAATATACAATTAGACATTTCCAAAAAAAAACTATTTTAAAAAGACAAATAAGATGTTACAGTAAAATCGTTTTATAATGCGAAAATTGAACGTGTTTTTTGGCGTTGAAAGACTGCAGTGTCCTTGACCCGGCAACCTCCACAGCACACTCTTGTCAGCCTGATTGAACTGCTACACTGTATCACATTACACTAATGAAAATTGATCATGGCCGCGCATAACCTATCGCATACGTTTCATCGATTCTGTATCTTAGAAAAAACAGACAATGTATTGTCCTCGCTGTCGAACCGCGACGCCGACCGTAACATCAAGAAAAATTTAAGTAGCTTATTTTTTTTTCTTTTTTTTAGGGACTTACGTTCTTTTGAACATGTCAGTCCCATAACATTCAACTTAGGAACTAATTACAACTATAAGTATACAAGCAAGCGACAAAACAATAAAAAAAATACACGTAAAAGTTAATACCAAAAAGAAAAAAATAATATTTACAGTTTCCACAAAGCCTTTAGCACCATGCTTCGGACGCCGTCTGCTAAATCCGAAAATGGTTGGCCCATAAGCTTAAGTTTTCTACTGACTATATTCTACATCTGCACCAAATTTCATCAAGATCTGTGGAGCGGTTCTGGAGACATATTTCAACAAACCTCCATCAATCCATCTTAACTTTCGCATTCAAATTCGGTTAAGCTGTTTAAGTCATATTAAAAAAACATCATCCATAAATATTTATTAGTCGGACAATAGGGAAGCTTAGACACGTCTCCCTGAAGAAAATTAATACTACGTTACTCAAAATTATCTCATAGTTCTTTAAGAAAATTAAAGTCAGACGAACAACAAGATAAATGGAGCAAAATAGCTTTAAATTGTGAAATAACCGGAGAACTTTCACCCGGTCATGGTGAGTTAACGCATACAAGAGTAAAGCACGTAATGATTTACAACTTTAGGTCAATTCGTGAATTGCTTGTCATTGTTAAATGATATAGATTAATAGACAACTAGCGATTACCCGCGACTTCGTCAGCGCAGAATTGTAAAAAGCAACCCTGTATTATTCCCGCATGCATCAGCTCAGCTACCTTCCAGTCCAAGTCCCATTAAAATCGGTACAGCCGTTTATTATTATAGTCGAAGATTACCCGGAACAAAGGCAGAATTGCAACAGAGATATACAGTGAAAATTTTAATAATTGGTTTTTAAAGGAATAAATTTCAACATTATAAAGATAGAGTTAGACATAAATCATTTTTTTTTTACCAACTCTTCTGTAACGACCTAGAAGTCTTAAGGTTTGTTGTATAATTCTTTGATTTAATCCAGCTATTCATTGTTATTGATTCAATCGCTACATTAGGAGAAAAGAAAGGCAGTTTGCCTAAATTGGAATGTTGTTGAAGATTTCACAAAGTTCAAAATAATCAGAGATAACAATTGCCATTTTCATATTACTCATGTTACCTAATAGCATGAATAATACACTGATTTATTTATGTTTCTTCAAAGACTTGCATTTCTTTATTCCGTGAAAATCCACATTGAATGTTATAGGATCAAAGGTGATAACGCGTGGAATGAATATAAAGAGAAAAAGTTCCCTAAAACATTAACGCAATATGTTGATTTCAGTTTTTCTCTGCAATGAATTTAAATAAAAACAACCGTAGTTTAAAGTCACAAATCTTAAGCACATTTTCCAAAGGAAATAAAAGAATATCGTGTTTCTTTATGAATTCGGTTTTTATTACGTATCAATTATTCCTATCATTTTATCTTCATCGAATAGTACAAGAATAACACCTGCGACGCTGCATTCCACTAAAATACTACGCACCTACAATACTTGTACATTAAAAAGGAGTAGCAGAAATAGTTCGAACATAATTAGAAGTGGTAGACATTGCTGGCCATGTTTTACCTATGCAGCTGCCACCGTAATGGGACAATCCGGAACAAAGGTTATTTTGTGGTAAGAAACTTGGACCCATTTCTTTAACGCTTTCTTATTTAAAATAGTAGTCTTGACTTTACCACAAAACCATTTACCATGGGTTTCTTAGTCCATAATCCACGTTTAAATCATATCGTTATCTTTGTTTGGTCAAAAATGAAAGACAGGGATGACGATATTTTCATACAGAGATTATATCAGAAACTCGATATATTTAATGATTTGAATGGTATTGTAATGCTGCCATCCTTGTTGCGTACCAAATTTTATTAACAGCGAAGGAACGTAGCTTTAGCAGTATCAATTTAAATGTTAATATATACAAACGTTATGTAAGTGAATAGAATTAAACTCGAATGTGTTTGTCTGCATATTAATTAGATATACCGTAACAGTCGCAGATTACCGTGGGTCGCGACTCCCACTTCTACACCGCCGCGTCGGGTCAGCGCAAACATGCGATGTTTTTTGCTAATCTTTGCACGACACGCATATTTAATGGTCAATATTAACGCGACAAACTTATCTGACAGACAGGCAACATTGGATTAGTTATACCGCTAGGAAAATCGACAAAATATATCAAAATGTATTGGAATGTCGCGCATCAAAAGTTCTTTGTCAGAGAGGTACTGTTAACGCTATAATTTTTTCAGAAAATATGTAAACTTAGGCATTGAAAATGATACGCAAAACAAGATATGTAAATTCCGACAAGAATATTCTGGTAATTTTTACATTGACAAGGGCGTAATAAAGTGTTATTACAATTGAGTTTTACTTATGCCAGACAAATATGCGTACAACGACGTGCTAGCTATTAGACTACATTACAGAGTTCGTAGAATCAACACAGTTGTTGTCTCTTCGACGGCTTATTTTCTTTCTTTTTTTGTTTTTATAGCCTCTATCAACCCGGAAAATAAGAAACATGCAAGTGAAAGTTTAAAACAATGGTGCTGCCATTCTTGGATACGACAAATAATTTACCTATTTATAATGCAACTATTGTGCTGTTGAGCATCCGAGAATTGTCTTTTGTTTCAATAAACAGCCTGTATTCTGTTAATCATTTATGGTCTTTCGACCTATTAATACAATAGATTGTTTATGGTGAACTTATATGAGAAGTACTAATATTATAAATTCAAGTGTTTGGATGTATGGATAGTTGAATGTTGTTGAAAATTGCCGTAGATGTAGAATGTTATCAGAAAGAACACATAGGCTACTAATTAAGTTTTTTTTAACACAATGAAGACGGAGTGGCGGGAGACAGGTAATGCTAAATAAAACTTTATATGAAAGTCTACAGACACCATGAACTTTCAAATTCCTGAGGAGATATTAAGATATATCGATAACAATGAAACCAAAAGGGAACATCTGAAAGCACAATCACGAACAACCTTCACGACTGTACAACTAAGTACAAGTAAACAAATCATTCAGTAAACACTGTCGCCTCTCTCCGTCGCGGATACGACCTTGATATTGGAAAGTATTATGCCGAGTATCGATATTATGATCTCACGAACGTCATTTGTTTTCCAAGCTCGTTACAAAAGTTATAATTACGCGGAAAAAGTGTAGATTAACGGTCGAATCATTAACTCATCGCTATGAAAAGACACAACTATGAATATTATAAACAAACACATAATTTTAAGAATAAGTCAATTAAACGATAAAAATATTTCTATCTTTTTAACCAAAGCTGTAAACTACTTAAACTTAACAAACTTCTGTTTATCAAAAGTTCAATTGCTATTCGCAAATGACATAAGTTTGAATAACATGCTAGTGGGTAAACTTCGTCGATATTGCGAGGCTGTTAGGAAAATAGGCAAAGTGCTTAGTCGAGCTCTTTAGAAATTCATTACGTTGAACATAAATTGCTTTGAAATAAACTCATCTGTTATCGGGACTATTTCAGAGAAAATTACGTTTGAATAGTTTTGTAAAGGGATTTATATTTTACCTTTAACGTAAGACACTTCGAACTTAATGAATGTAGTAACTGTGAATAAAAATAGATTGCTTAGCTTGACCCTATTTGAAATACGCTCAAGGGACTCCGAAAAACCTCGGACCGTTGCTTAGCACGCATGCCGAGTGGTGACCAATGAAACTTTATCAACTCTTTCCATTATGTAATTACCAATTTCCAAATTTACGAAAGAATAGTACACCCTGTACTTTCCTAATGCAATGGAAAGATATTGAAGTAAACTCCAGTTTCGTCTGCGAGGTTTAATCGCATGTGTTCTAAATTTGAACAGTAGGCGAACTGGGGTGTTAGGCAAAGTGCCTTCGCTTCGATGCTATTCCATTAAAAACTTCAAAAATGTATGGAACTCACAATAACTTTCGTTAAGTCACGTGATTGTCGCGCGTCACTTTCATACATTTTTGAAGTTCGCTCTGGGATCGCTTCGAAGCGAATGCATTTTGTCTAACTCCTCTGATCACTCTGGGACTGAGGTAACAGCATTATACAGATGTTGTTTGTTTTAAATGGACTATTCATTTCATGTAATTCACATTCAAATAAAGGTTGATTACGTACGATTTCAATTGTTTGACCTGAAGCACAATAACAACACAGATAATGAAATCAAATGACTTTACTCTTTTGTCAGAGAAAGCAATCACTACAAAGGTAAACAAGACCTTTTGTACGATATAGGTCATAATAATTATAACAGATTCATTTA